TTTTATACATTTGTTTTGATGTCCATCCAGACCAAATGTTCAAACACATTTATTTCCCTTTAAAATTTTAATTGATAGTTTACATTTCAAGTTTTATAAGTTTTATTATTTTATACCTTTTTCTTAAATGGAAGTTTGAAAAGCACTATTGTTGATTAATTTGTTTTGAGGACATTGGAGAAAATTCCTGTTTAGAAATTAATATCTTCATTGCTTTGTAATAATAAATCTATTACATGTTTAATATTAATTATGAGATTTTAAAAGGCATTTAAAAAAATTCTTTTTGAGAACATTTTCTACTCTAAAACAAGTGTTTAAGTAATTTCCAGTAGTCTGTTTAGTTACATCCCAGCTGGAGAAAGTAGAGTAGGAATATGTCTCCTTCAGTATGCTTTGCAGTCTTTTCTTAGCTCTGACTTGCCTTACACATCTTGGATGTTTTCCTTTTTTACCAGTTGGAAATCTGCACAGGCCAGTCCACTGCTGCAAGGAGAAAGTCAGAAAGTGTTCCTGCACATGTTGTCCCACCCATTGCCACAAGTGAAAGCTGAAACTTACAACTGCTGTCTGGAGATGGTTAAGGTGGCGGTTGGTTTTGTTTTGAGAACTAGTAATGGGTTCTCTTATTAGTCTTCCAGAATTAAATTTCTCGACCTTTTGCAGGAGATATAAAAAAATAATATTCCATAAAAATACATGTCAATTCTAGGAAATATGTTCTATTTTAAAAAAATGTTATTTGTTTTTTTTAGGAAATATATACTACTAAATTCCTTTAGCTTAGTAAGTCTAGCAATTGAATTGCTTTATTATATTTTAACATTCTTGTATGTTCTATGTATAACAAATGTTTGTATTTTGCCATTTTTTACTTCTGATCCATTTTAATGTATTTATTTATTTATTTTTGTGGTTCTGAAGATCAAACCTGGGAATCTTGAGCATGCCAGGCAAAGCACTCTACCACTGAGCTATACTCTTGGCCCACTTGTGATCTATTTTTATTCACACAAATAGAAATACTGCAGAGTGGAAGCTTCTTTCTTTTCTCTTTACTCTTCTTCCTCCAGTGCAGCGTGGCTACTCATAAAGTTGGTCTGTGTCCTTCCCATCCATTTTTTAATGTATGTTTACTATATACATACCTTTAAGTATGATATACTATTGTTTTCTCTTTTTAAAAAACTATATGTCATACTACACATGATTTTACCAGTTGTTCTTTTCATTTCATGGTAGATTTGAGGTCCACCTAGTTTATTCTTCCATATTGTTAAGCTTGAATAGCTTTTTTTTTTTTTTTTTTTTAACTGGTAAATATTTAGGTTTAGCCCCACACCACACCATACACACCCACACACTGTTTTTTTTTGGTGGTGCTAGGAGTCCAACACAGGGTCAGACAAGCACTTTACCACTGAACTATATGCCTAGGTGATTGAGTACTTTTTACTAAAGTAAGTTTTTCAGTATTTTCTGACTTTGTGCCTATGTTTGGAAATGTTTTGATTTCACTTTACTTTTCTGTGGTGCTGGGGATCAAACTCAGGACTTTGCACATGCTAGACAAGCACTCTACTAACTGAGCTACATCTCTAGCCCTTCACCTTACTCTTGAATAATAATTTTCCTGAAATAGAATTATAGAATGACTGCTGTGTGTTCTTAGTACTTTTCCAGTGTTGCTTAATTCTTGTTAGACTTCTGCTTTTGATTAGTTTGCTACCAGCTAAATTATAATTTCTTTGTATTTTTTTTGCTTCTTACTTTTTTATTATATTACAAGCATTTGTCACATTTTTATAAACATGTCACTTACAATATTTAATCATTGCATAATATTCCACAATTTTATAACATGATTTTTGTAACAATTACTTAGTCAGTTTTCTATCATATAAACTGTTTCCAATTTTTTATTTCTATATATAGTACAGCAGTGAATGTTTTTGTACATCATCTTTGTCCCACATTTAGGATTTGTTCTTTTTTTTTTCTTCTACAGATATTTATTGAGAATCCATTCTAAGCCAGACACTATTCTAGGTGCTGCAGATATAATGTCACCGAAACATAGATGCATCAGTGTATTTTTTTCCCTCTATATATTTTTTTTGTTT